ATTAGATTAAAATGTATTAAGCTCTTAATTTTAGTCAAAAATTTCTCAGAACCTGATTTTCCTAGAAACACTCCTATCTAGTAGTATTTAACTCCGGTAGCTCACATGAAGATATTTCTAAGATTATTAGGCGCTATACTGATGATGTAAAAAATGCATCTATGGTTATTAATAATTACCTTCGAAAAGGTGAGTTTGTTGTATTTGATCTCACTAGGTCAGAAGATGATCTCCTTGTAATCCGCTTAAGTTTTGACACTCCCCTAAACCTGCAGAAGGAAATAGAGGCTAGGCAGAAATGCAAGGAAAAAGTGCCTCCAGCTAATAAATAGAATCTGACTTTATAGATGCCAGCTTTTTTTTTCGTAATTATAAAAAAATAGAATAAGAGAGCGCCAAGCTAAAAGACCGATTATTTTTATCGATCCTCAAAAAGCACGAGACTTAGATCAGGATCTTACTTTCTAGAAACTTTATTACAGACCTGAGGGATATTATCAGACTATTGAAAAAAATGCAAACTGCTTGTAAAAGAGTCAGATATGTATTTACTTTAGCTGTAATAAAAAATTGGCTTAATAAACAGGCTTTATATCAGATTCACAAGCCTCGGCCTAAGTATATTCCACAAGCATCTTTTAATAATATTACTGTACCTATAGAAGTTATTCAAGCTGATTTATGCTATATGCCTTATGATCGAATTGGAAATAAATCTTATAAATTTGCACTTAATTGTGTAGATATTGCTACCCGCACTAAATGGACCTATCCTTTAACAAGACGTGATTCTGCTAATGTAGTTAAAGGATTTGTGAAACTTTTTAACTTCTGAATATGCCTAATTATCTGGTCTAATATTAAAGTTTTAATGGTAGATGGGGGCATAGAATTCTAAGGTAATGTTATCATACTAATGAACGAACATAGTATCCAAATTCAACTAGCTAATTCTAAAGAATCTATGAGTATTGTTAAGAGATTTAATTGTACACTTCAAGAATGGATATTCTTTATTCAAGATAGTGTTGAAATGAGATTACCTCCTATTGAGCGCTGTCGAGCTTAGGTAAAAAACCTTCCAATTTTTCTTGTAGAGCTTGACAATTCTGTAACTCAACTTCTAGGTATTTCTCCTGCTGAAGCTCAAAAAAAAGAACATGTCTTTGTTAAAGCTTCTAAGCCACGAGAAGGACTTATTGGGTTTGATAAGCCTAGATTATCCCATAATGTCTTAGTAAGATATTTGCTTAATCCTGGTGAATTAGAAGGTGAGAGACAACGTGTAACTGATTGTAATTAGTTTCCCCAAATTTATCATATTCGTGAATCTCTAGTATAAAAAATCAGCCGGTCTTGTACTGGCTAATAGGTGATGAGGGCAATGGCACGAAAAGATCCTTTGTAAGAGAGAAGCTTCAAATCATTCATCCTGACACAGAATTACCACCCCAATAGATGCTCACGAATTAGATTTCTAATTCATGAAGTTTAAGCATTTCATTTACTTCTTCTATAGATTTTTTCTGTATAACTTCTTCTTGGCTCGCGAATAAGAAATATAATTTGTATAACTTTTCAATACTCTGATACACTTCTTCAGTATACCAGTCTTTGTAATCTGCCATTCTTTCATTATAGGCTTTCTTATTTGGAGCTCGTTGCTTTACTACATATCTGCAATGATCATCTGGGTCCCTTTTATGTCGCATTATTTTCAAATAGCCCACATATGTTAATCCTATTTTGTCATATTTTTTTTGTGTCTTGACTATATGCTACTTTGATTACCTCAACTAATGCTGATTCGATGTCTTTATAGTTAATCATTTTGTGCAAGTATTGAATATAGTTTTTGTATTAATATAGCGAAA